ATTTTTAAATTTTACATTTCATGCAAATTGCTTTAAAGCAGCTCGGCGTATACATTTTTATGCCAAGGATTCGCTAAGTGTAACAGATTAGATTTAAAGAAAAAATTTAATGAGCATCACCGGAACGCTCTTCCATCTCATCGAGCTTCGTCCTTTCCTCATTTTTTGTTGCCTTTAATTCGCTTTATTTTGTTCTAGTTTATGACTTTTAAATGCCTCAAACAGACACCGTACCGTTCACTATCAATTTGTTTGCAATTCAATCTACGCTCCTCTGAATTTGTTGGATCCAAAAAAAAATGTCTATTACAAAAACAACACAAAAGTTTGAAGAAGAATGAAAATTGACTTAAATGAATTTTTTCCCATCTTTCTTCCGCTTTTAACAGCTTTCTGCTTTAGCTTTAGATTAATAAAGGATGGATTGATGCTGTAAAAATGTATGTGAAACTCGCAACTCACAAACAACGAACAGAAAAAAAATGATTTGGTGCTCCGCGACTGTAAAACTTTACTTACACAATCTGTCTCTCTTCACTTTGCCTGACTCTCGCATACACTTTATATATGCAGGGATAATAACTTTGAAGTGGATGGGAACGTGAAAAATAATTGATCAAGTTTTTGATTGAATGGATGACATGAATCTTTATGGCGGTAATTTTTCTTCATCTGGGTTGGATTTTTTTTTTGATAGCTTACCGTTATGTTGGGCTGAAACATAAATCTTGGATGAATATTGGCTGACCTAATTTGGAGGCTGGAATGGACATATATTTGCATAACAACAAAGTTGATGTCGAGGAGATTGAATCTGAATTATTATTTGGATACTTGTGTGGATTGAAAGAAACTTAAGGAATGTTGCCATGGTTTTGTGATGAATCTAGTGCTGAAGGACAGGTTTTTGCTGGTCAGGAGTATAGTTTTGCCAAGTAGAGTCAATCATCCTTGACGAGCAAATGTCTTCAACTTTAAAGCCAACAACCAAACTTACAGAAAATTACAAATTCAATCCTATTTAAAATTAAAATTACTTTCCACGACACGAGTCTCCTAGAATAATAAGCAAACACTTACCTTCTCTATCGTGAAGCATGTGAGATTATCCTCATAAAAAACGATTTCTCAGGTATATTAAAATTCAATTAAATCTCATAGACGGAACCTTTTTATAAGGAGAGTCTTTAATTAGAAGCAAATTAATTCAACAAATGATACTCATACATAACAAAATGATCGTAAATGTGAGGTAACTTAATGTCGTGAGCAAGCAAAATTTACTTTTTATGTTCTACCCTCATTCTTCATGCATAAAGGGCAATAATCATATGTTATGAGGGCATGACTGTATTATTTTATTGTAAAAGAAGTCTCATCCCTAGACCTCAAAAACCTTCTTCTCTTCTTTGAATCTCTTTTTAAATTAAATTTATTCAAGATTATTATATGACGTATTGCTTGAAATATGTAAATTGATTTGCAAAAATATGAACAAGAAAAAAATGTGTAAGGAAAACATGAAGAACATTATTTCAGAACGTAAAATAAGATTAAACTAAGCAGAAAATGTTGAGTAACAAAGAAAGTTATTTTCGTAAGACAATAAGGTCGATGGTGTAATATTGAAAGATGATAAAGAGCTTTTGTCAGGGCTGCAGACAGGATTTTTAAAGCTACACTTTTGATATTTTGACATTGAAAAGAACACTAACCCACGCCTGGATAAACCCTCAACAAATGTAACATATTAACTTACTTACTGTAACCATGTTCCTATGTGGAACTTAGGTTACAACAAAAGGCTTTCTTTCTGACTCTATTACCTAGTTTATACAACTTCTCTGTCCGCACATTGAGCTGACATTCTTTCATCACTGTTCTGCGCCAGGTAGCTTTTGCAGCTCGAAAACTTAAATAGATTCCCTTCCAAAGTGTTACAAACCATAGGCACATCCCCGAACTTACGAAAACTTTTACTTCATAAATTAAAACTTTCTCAAAACAAATTTTCAAATGTCAAATTCTATAAAATTAAATCACTTAAATTTAATAATATTAAAGACTTAATTTGTAATTTCCATCCTGCATAATTAAATAATTAATTTCCTTATTAAATTTCCTTTTTCCCGAAAAAGACAGATTCATCAGCTTTTGAGTCAAAAAGTTTTGAATCCCACGACATATTTTTGTATCACATTAAAATTCTCAAATAAGAAAAAAAGAGTTGAGTCTGTACAGAAATAAAAGATGTCAAGAAGACTAAAATTGAGTTAAAAAAGTTTTTCATGTCTCAAATTTCCAAACATTCATCTTCCACTTTTGTCAACTTTTCCTTCTTTCAATTGATTGAGATTTAATGTGACCTCCTATGTGTTCTCAACTTTAACTCAATTACGACTTATTTCCGAGTTCCTTTTGTGATGATTTCTAAGATAACCACTTAACAATAAACAGTGATAAATATTCTTTCCTTAAATGACAATAGAGAATGTGGAGGAACTTGACTTAAAGCATAAAAGACTAAAGAAAAAGTTTGCTTTTCTTCCTCCTTTTTTTTTTTTTTTATTTCTTTTCCTGTGCTTGTTTTCTGATAAAACAACAATAAACATTATTTTTTCTTTCCTCTTGTCTTCTTCTTTTGCTGCTCAATTGTGAGTTATAAGTAGAAAAATGTGGATATTGGTTGGAGAGGCAAGTTGAGGCTGATCTTAGGATGAATTGTTTTTTTCATTGAAAGTAAGTCCATGAAGCTCTCATGATATGCAGATGTAATTCAATTAGGATTCGAACCTTCAGAAAGATGAATTATCAAATCTTTAAGCTATTTGACTGCAAAGTAGCTTTGCTAGTTTTGGTTATTCATCCAATCTATCCAACAATCTTGAATGGCACAAGTCAGTTAATCGATCAGAAATCAGGCACCAACCCAGTGTGACTTTGGAATAGTGCTGAATTTAAATTAAAGCCAGCACCATACTAGAGTCATGCCAGCTTGGTGTCATTAGGGTTTGTTGTAAGACTTAAGCCTATCAGCTCAAATATATAATTAACGTAATTAACTCAAATCTACAGACAGTACAGCCATACTGCTCACTTCTAATTACTCTCTTTTCTACGAAACTTACAACAGATCTGTAATGAAAAGTTTTTCAATAAAAATGTTTCTCATGCTTCTTGAGATGATTTCGTCAATTGTTCGTCTTTGCTCATGAGTAACATATTCTACTGTTCTGTTGAAAATGTTGGAAACAAAAATAAATGGAACAGGAAAAAAGGTACTTTGGGGCTATTTTCTGTAATTGAAAGAAAGTTATCGTTCATATTTACTAGCTTAGGGGCCATTCACTTATTACGTAACGCTTTTAAGGGGGGGAGGGGGGTCTACGATTTTGTTACGGTTCAAACAAGGAAATTTTTTTTTCATACAAATTTTGTTCAGGGGGGGGGGGGTCTAAAAAGTCATTTTTTCGCGTTACGTAATAAGTGAACAGCCCCTTATTGAATTCCGATGAATTTGAAAGCTTATAGGGACTTGGAAGATTTTAATTATCTTTAAGGAGAGGGTTCCTTAAGGGCCATTTACTAATGGGTTGAACTGAATTGACAAAAGTCAGTCAACCAGTTCAGGATCTTTGGAATCCACCTCCTCATTCTCAATCTATTTTTAGACACTCCCAAAGGTAAAAAACAAAACAATTCCTTCATCCTACTCAATTCTATAATTTAATCCACCTATTCAACCGCAAAACATGAGCAGCAACAACAACAGACACAAAAATATAAAATCTGTCATAACAACATTTAATCATAAACAGATGAAAAAGTGATTAGCAGCTCTATAAATTGCAGATTATTAAAAAAAAAATTAATTGGAGAAAATTAAATCAGACTCAAAAAGATAATAAAATACATTTGTGGCAATGTATCTACATGTAGGGGAACAGATTGCATCCAATTTTATGAGTTTTTTGTCACATTATGCATAAAAAGCACATGAAAGGAAAACAAATAATTAAAAGTTGATGTTTTTAATTAAAAATTATGAGATTTAAAAGTTTTTCGACATAAATTTTAATTAATTCAACTTTCCAATAAAGCCCCTATTGATCAGTTATTAAGAATTGAGCAAATATACGGTTTTGTGGACTGAATACTCAACTTTAATTATAATTTAATGATTTTAGTGATTTAAATATATTTGCAGTCTATTAAAATAAACGTTAACAGTTTACACTCCAAAAAATAAATTGACATCCCCAAAAAAACCGCAATCGATGACCTGATATATGTTAATGCACACAAGTATCTTTAATCTGATGGAAATTTATGTTCATTAATCCCTCTTTAAATGTTCCAACTCAAAAACAGCATCGATTACAACTTGGTAAATGACAGACTTAAAGTGAATCATTAAATATGAGATATAATTAAAAAGTTGGGAAAAAAGAATACTTACTAGAAAGCTAGATGACCCCTTAGTGGTTGTTCATAAATGATGTTTAGTTTTTTGAAGGAAAAAGGTCTGAAATTCTTTGACAAGTCAAAATAATTTATTTATTTTTGCCTAATTTTTAAGAAGGTCGAGTTTCACATTTTATAATGAACGTCATTTTTGAATGACCCCTTACAGGGGGTCACTTCAAAAGTAGTCATTTATAAAGATTTGCTTCAATATTCCTTTCAAATTCGATTGTAAATTATTTTTTGATGTGACCTTTTTGTAGACAACATTTAAAAGTGTGCTACTCGGTAGCAAAGGAACCAATAACTCATAAAACAAAAAATCAAATAAAAACTTAGATCTAAGCTCAACTAAGAAACTTATCTTCGAATCCGAAACTTTAAAATCAAAATAATTTCAATTTTCAATAATATTGATAATATTTAAATTAATCAACTAAAAAAATAGCCTATCATAGACCATCAAATACCACAGAATACAAAAAATAGCAATAAGCCTACAGAATCAAACAACATTACTTATGAAAAAGCTCTCCAGCTCTTTTTATTTTGAATCAAATTTAATTTACATTTCATTTAAATCACACGATCTGAGTAGTAACTAGTTAACAATGGCTTTATTCAGAATAACTTCATCAAAATCCATAATCCAAGCACATCACAGACTCTTCCCAACTATTACATCACTCAAACGAACCATTTCATCTGAAATCATCGACTTGAAAGTAATTCTTGAAGACAAAATTCCAAAAGAGCAAGAACGCGTCCAGAATTTCCGTAAAGCTCATGGAGCCACAAAAGTTTGTGATATCAATATCGATATGATGTATGGAGGCATGCGAGGAATCAAAGGACTTGTTTCTGAAACCTCAGTATTAGATGCTGATGAAGGTATCCGATTCCGTGGACTATCAATTCCAGAATGTCAGCAACTTTTGCCAAAAGCTAAAGGTGGAGCCGAACCACTTCCTGAAGGACTTTTCTGGCTCTTGATGACTGGTGATGTTCCAACTAAGGAACAAGTCAATTGGCTTTCAAAGGAATGGGTTAATCGTGCAGATCTTCCTGAATATGTTATCACCATGCTTAACAACTTTCCATCAACACTCCATCCAATGTCACAGCTTTCAACTGCAGTTACAGTTCTAAATCATGAAAGTAAATTCTCTAAAGCCTACTCACAGCGAGTTCATAAATCTAAGTACTGGGAATATGCTTATGAGGATAGTATGGACTTGATTGCTAAGCTGCCTGTTATTGCTGCAACTATTTATCGAAATATTTACCTTGATGGAAAAGGAATCAAGGAAATTGACCCGAATCTTGATTGGTCAGCAAACTTTTGTCGAATGTTAGGATATGATAATGAGGAATTTAATGAGTTGATGCGCTTATACTTGACAATTCATAGTGACCATGAGGGTGGTAATGTTAGTGCACATACAGTACATGTTGTCGGATCAGCTCTTAGCGATCCATACTTGTCATTTGCAGCTGGTATGAATGGTTTAGCTGGACCACTTCATGGATTGGCTAATCAAGAAGTATTAGTATGGCTGCAAAAGTTACGCACAGAACTCGGTGATGATGCAAATGAGGATAAAGTCAAAGACTTTATATGGAAGACACTCAAATCTGGACAAGTCGTTCCTGGCTATGGACATGCTGTTTTAAGAAAGACAGATCCTCGCTATACTTGCCAACGTGAATTTGCTCTTAAACACCTTCCTGATGATCCATTATTCAAACTTGTCAGCAACATCTACAAAGTCGTTCCTCCAATCCTGACTGAATTGGGCAAGGTTAAGAACCCATGGCCAAATGTAGATGCTCATTCTGGTGTCTTATTACAATATTATGGATTAAAGGAAATGAACTACTATACTGTGTTATTTGGTGTCTCACGTGCTCTTGGAGTTCTTGCATCACTTGTGTGGGATCGTGCTCTAGGTTTGCCTATCGAACATCCCATATCTATGTCTACAGACCAATTAATGAAGACTGTTGGATATAAATCTTAGAAAAAATAATTTTAAAGAGGAGCTAGCAGATAGCAGATAGTGATTAATTTGCTGATTGCAAGGAAGATACTGATTTAAAAAATTGTAAATAATATTTTAGTACTGAAAAATTTCCAATAAAAAGTATTTAGTTTCAAGTCAATCAGCAGTCAATCCAAATATATGAAAGAACAAAAGCTTCATGCTTCAATTTAAAAAGATGAAAACAATCTTGAAATTATTAGACTCGAACACATTCTACGTCTTTTGACCTCATCGCATTACCATGCCAGTCAGGATGAAATATCCACAAAAACGAAACTTCCTTCAAACATTGAAAGGAAGGATTTTTTTTTTTTCTATTTGAAGAAATGAAAATTCCAATTAGATGCAATTGAAAATGTAAAAGTTTTGCATCAAACTCAAAGTTTTTTTGAATAAGGAAGGAAGGAAGTTGATTGGCATTTGTCTGGCTGATATTGAGTTAAAGACGCATTTTTTGAATCTTATTTGAAGATTTGTTGACTTGTATCGCAAGAGTAACTGAGAATCTTACTTACTTCGCTGGTCGTACAGATCAATTGTGATCCATGACCTGCCTTAGCTGTCCCCTAAAACTAGTTCTATCTCTGGCTACCGTCTGCCAATTGCCGATTCCAAATGCAACACTGTCTCTATCAACAAACTCGAATCTTCATCCCTGTTGAGGATGGGTTTCAACAGTAAAGCTTTGAGTACTGATGACTCAGAATAAATAAAATATACGAAGTACGTTTGGTAAGACTTCGGAGTGCACTGAAGCTTAATTACAAGTATCAGTGCTTTTATTCAAATATAATTGTTTATAAGAAATATACTTAACAATAAATATAGGAAGTTTATCTTAACAATAAGTGACAATTTTATGCTTAAAAATATAAATAATATTTTGTAAGTATTTTTTGCGAAACTAGAATGTTTGGACTTATTGCTTAACTTAAACATCCTCCCCAACAGAAGAGTTGTTCTCAATCGGAGGCTCAAGTTCCCATTCCAAAAATTCTAGTGCCACATTTACATAATGATTCGCCTTTGTATTATTTTCTATTGGTTGCTCAATTAGATCTGAATTTACATGTTGTATTTGAAGGGCTTGGGGTCTTCTTTTGAAGATCAGTGATTTGGTATTTGCATTTCTTTTCACCTTAAGCAACTTCCATACCCACAAACCGATAAATATGACTATGACTATTGCCCCAGGAGTAATTATACTTATCCATTTTGTTGGATCTGTTAATGATTTCTCTGCAACTAACTTCTCAGGATCTGGCAGCGCATTAAAAAGTGTATAATCTTCTTCTATGATCTTTAATAAATTTGGTTGTGCATCCATTGCACCAGTGAGTTGTCCATACGTGATTAGCAGTAACGTAATTAGCGCTTGTGGAGAGATTCCTTGCTTTTTCGCTTGTCCACGAGTTAATCTTGGCTGATTGCTAGGTAATACTAGTGAAGAGTGAGAAGCTATGGTTTGCTTTTGTTTCAAATTAGGATTATCTTTCTTAGAATTACCATTAATTGCTTTTTTATTATCTAATTTAGAGTTTACAACATTTTTGGGTATATTAGAGTTATCAATTGTAATAATTTGCTCATCTTCAGAAGTTAGAGGCAAAATATGATTAATTTTTCGTTTATAAGTTCCTGTTTTAGTTTTTATGTCAATTACACGAATTATTCCATCAATTCCGGGATAGAGTTTCATGACTCTTCCAATTGGCCATAAAGTAGAAGGGGTTGAATCTTTAAGAATCACCAGATCATTTAATTTTAGGTTAGCTAGTCGTTTTGCATATTTAGGAACTCTTTGAAGAGTTGGAAATATTTCATCAAACCATTTTTTCCATAAATCTTGATTAAGTTTTTCAACAAACTTCCATCTTCTTGTGACGGATATAGAATTAGTTAAGATCTTATCATCAGGTGGAATTGGGGCAAAGTTTTTATGAATAAGAAAGTGAAATGGAGTAAGAGGGAGAGGTTCTCCATTATCTTCATAAATTTCACTCAGTGGTCTTGAATTCAGAATTGCCTCACAGTGTGTTAAAATAGTGTTTAATTCTTCATAACTCAATATTACAGTAGGGTTAACAATTTTTCTTAGACTTTTCTTGAATGATTTTACAGCTGCTTCCCAGAGACCAGCCATGTCAGGCGCCAGAGGGACATTGAATTTCCATTCTACGTTCGTTACTTGAGAACGAAATTCAGTTGAAATGGAACGAATACGATTTTTTAGGATATTAGAAGCTCCTACAAAATTTCTTCCGTTGTCACTATAAAGACGGGTAGGTGTACCTCTTCGATTCGCAAATCGATTAAAACATTGAAGAAAGCATTCAGCAGTCAGATCAGAACAAAGTTCCAGATGAATTGCTCTAGTAAAGAAACAAATGAATACTGCCACGTAAGAGGGAAATGATCTAACTCCTCTTAGATTTGATGCTTTGCATGAGAAGGGACCACAGAAGTCTACCCCAGCTACAGAAAAGGGTGTTGCAGGCTTTAGCCTATCAGCTGGTAGTTGCCCTATAGGAGGGTCAGGGAATTGCTTTTTGGATCTAATGCAAGTAGGACATCTTTTTATAAATGCTTTTATTTTCTCTTTACAAGTCAATATCCAGAATTTATTTCTCAGTTCGCGTCTTACTAATTTATTTTCACCATGTCCTAACGTTAAGTGAGCTCTTCGTATTAATGGTATAGCAAGAATTGAATTTGAGTCCAGTAAGTAAGGATGTTTTTCGTCAAAAGTGAGAGAAGGGTCATGTTCAGCTCGACCACCAACTCTTAACAAATTATCTTCATCTAGAAATGGTTGTAATGTGCGTATTCTTGATCTAATAGGTAAGGGTCGTTTATTCTTTAAATTCTTAATTTCCTCCGGAAAAGAAAGAGATTGTTTCAATCGAATTATACATTTTTCAGCGCGATACAATTCATGATTTGTGAAAGTTCCTTTAGTTTTATATTTCCATCTTAGAATTCTAGCAACTAATAGAACTAGCATTGAGAATATCGAATGGCGAGTTAACAACGTCTCAGCGAATTCATTGGCATTATTTGAAGTAAGGAGAGATATTTGCTCTTTAGGCTTAGCTTTTTCAAATTTAGGGAAGTCAGTTTGTTGACATAACGGTGGGCCTTGAAACCAAATTGAATTTTCTTTAAGATCTTTGGGGCTTAAACCTCTTGAAGCACTGTCCGAAGGGTTAAACGCTGTTCTCACATGGTGAATTTTTTCAATTGTGAAAACTTTAAGAATGGACTTAGTGTATTTTTTAATAACTTTGTTAGAAATTGTATTTTCATGTATTGAATGATGTAGCCAATTAAGAACAACTTCACTGTCTGTAAATGCATGACAGTCCGTTATTTTGATGTCACGGGTCAAAGATTTTATGACTTGTTCCATAAGATCAGATAATAAATTTAATGCAGAAAGTTCCAATTTGGGTGTTGTGAAATTCCCAGTATTGAAGCCTTTTGAGAATTTTACGTGAAGAGGGGTCAAATGACTTTTGGCACAAATAATGGAAGTCTTGTATTCATTGTCCCTTTTCACTCTCGCATAAATGACGCATGCTATAGCTTCTTTTGATGCATCTGCAAATCCAAGAAGTTCAATTCCATTTTCGGATAACGAGTGAATCCAACGAGGGAATGTTATTTCTTTTAGTAAGGGAAATTCTTGAAAAATATTTCTAAATTCAGAGACTAAATCTTGATCAACTGTATCATCCCAATTATATTTTTTGTTCCAAATTTTTTGAAGTAGAAGTCGTAGTAAGACAGCAACGGGCAATAACAGACCGATTGGATCATACAGACTTGCAACGGCACTAAGAAGAGTGCGCTTTGTATGCTTAGTAGAATCTTTTATATCAGGGATAGATACTTGCAGCGTGTCATCAGTCAAATTCCATTTGTAACCTAATACCGTAATGGTTTTCTCTTTTTCAGTCAAGAAATTTTCAATTCTGTCTTCGGATGGAATATTTTGAAGAATTTCAGGGATATTACTAGCAAATTTTCTCAGTTGCATATTAGACTTTTTTAGTTCTTGATGAACTGAAGTAACAATGTTTTGTCCGATTTCGGTGGAGTAAGATCCAAAAATATAATCGTCCATGTAAAATCGTTTGGACATCCATTCATGAATAGGTTCAGCTGCTTGCTTTGCTATTCTTTCTAGAACCATCAAAGCTAATGCTGGTGAACATGCAACTCCGTATGTAACAGTGGTGAGTTGATAGGTTTTTAATGGATCCACTGGATTTTTACGCCAAACTATTCGTTGCAAATCCCAATACTTTGGGAGCAAATTAATCGTTCTATACATCATTGAAATGTCAGCAGTGAATGCTATTGGAAAAATGCGGAACGTTATCAAAATCGCTAATAGATTAACCAATAGGTTTGGACCAATGTACAACATCTCATTCAACGAGACATTGTTGGAGGATTTACTTGAAAAATTGAAAACATTTCTCACTTTTGTGGTGAGTTTATCCATCTTGAAAATGGAGTGATAAGGAGCATAATAAGTTCCTAACACTTTAGACACAGAAGAAGGATCTTCCTGAGGTTCTGCTTCCCGCATATGCCCAGCAGTAAGATAGTCTTCCATGAAATCATCAGACATCTTCTTCTTTTGAGGATTCTTAACAACAGATTTTTCTTGACTTATAAAAATTGCTGCGCTTTTATCATAAGATTGACCTAGCTTGGGTGCATCTGGTTTTACAAAAAGAGGGACACAAAAGGAACCTTTGTAATCGATTATAGTTTCTTCCTCAAATACTCTGTCACAGAACGCTGTTTCATCAGCAGTAGAAGCCAAATCAGGCATTTTCCAACATTCCCTAATGTTTTTATCTATTTCATTAAGAGTAATTAGACACTTATTATTTCGTGTCCTTGGTATAGCACCAGAAAGTATGTAACCAAAAGTAGTTTTTTGAGCAATGAGGTTTCCTATTTTTTTCGTTGAAGGCATCAGAATTTTACATAAACCTTCAGCACCAAGCAAGAAGTCAATTCTTGAACTAGAGTCAAAATAAGGGTCTGCTAACTGCAGAGTTTTTAACAATGGGTCTCTAAGAGACTGTTGATTATCACCGGCACTTGCAACATGATCGCAAACAAGAGCTTCAATTGTCAGAGTGACATTTGTGTCATAAATAGAGCATAAAGTGACTTTTACTTTAGATTTTATTGAGGCAACTGTGACGCCACCCAGACCAGAAACTGAATCATTGTAATCTTGTCTGGGTAGTTTTAGTTTCTTTACTAATTTGTCAGAGATGTATGATGCAGTAGAGCACGAGTCGGCTAAGCCAGTAGCTTCGAGCATTCCATGCTTTCCACTCAAAAATGCTCTAATTGAAGGTAAAATTATATTTTGCTCTGCATTATCTGTTATGGCAACCAAACTTTTTTGGTGCATATTTGCCCGATGCAAAGATGTTAAATGCTTTTTATGACAGACCTCACATTCTAGCTTTTCGCGAACTTGACATTTAGTGTCTTTATTGTAAGGGTGAGAACCACACGCGATGCAAATAAATTTTTCAAATAATAGTTTGCGAGGATCGTCAGCATTAGCAAGAGTCTGACAACGAGTGGTTTTATGATCTTTTGATTGACAAATTAAACAGCCTTTTCGAAAGCGATCAGTGAAAAATGCCTTTTGATTCTTATTGTAATTATTATTATTAGTACTACTACTAGAACTTAAGTTTTCATGAATTTTGTAACGATTTTCCAAAAATGTAAGCAAGTTTTCAATAGACGCAGGTTTTCCTACCGATTTTTCATCATAATCAATTCTGCTTTTATAATCAAGTTTGTCGCGAATTGTCTTGAAGAGTTGAATGTCATTATCATGAATGTCTTGGCCTAAGAGTTTCAAATTAGCAAGGACTTCTCTTGCCATATCAATTAATTTTCGATAGTCGCCTAAATAGCGAGTACCTCTTATAGGCTGTAATTCTTGAAGAGCCTTCAGCTCAGCATCCGTTTGGGCAGATTTATCTCCATAACGAATGTCAAGTAAACGCCAAGCTTCTTTATAGTTATTATCCAGCAATTCTAAATGCTTGATTACATTTAGGGCTTTGCCCTTCAACCGGGTTTTTAAATATCCCAGTTTTTGCTGTAACCCATATTCGGAGCCATCTAGAGCAGTTTTACACAAACTTTTAAAGGAAGTGTACTCGCGAATATCATCTCCCGAAAACATTGGAATTTCCAATGACTTAATTTTTACCGACTTTTTCTGCGAATTCATATTTTTCAAAACTTTAACGAGCTCTTTTCCAGTTTCGTCAGACATGCCAACGTTATTGGAAGGGCCAGGTGGTGGTTCAGGTTTGCTCTTTTCAGTTAATTCCTTTCGAACAAACTCTAATCCTTCGCCATAAATTTCCTTTGCTCCAGTCATAAATGAACTAACAAAGTAATCCAAAGATTTCACTTGATCATCAGACACTTTAGAACTAATTTCAAGATTTAAAGCTTCCATTTGAGCAAAGACTCGATCAAACTTCACTATTGTTTTTAATAATGTGTCAACAGTGCGCAATTCTCGGGAAAGCTTTTTCATATTAGTAATAGTTGCTTTCATAGAATTTTTATGTTCATTTTGTTTTTGAATAAGTGCTTCTACAGTTGCCATGATTGTAATTTAATTAGGTTCAACTTGTGTGAAAATTAAAATTGAAGATTTAAAGTCTATGAGACGTCTCTCGAAATAATGATTTAAATGAAAGATTATGACTAAAAAGTAGATTAAATTATGATTAAGAATAGAATTTTAACTTTAAAACTTTTAAACTAGAACTTAACGCGAGATACCTAACTAGATGAGCTTAATAGTAATTATTCAAAGATTATCCTAATTCTTTCCAAGTTTTTCAAAGTTCTCCCCAACAAGAGAATATTTTTTATTGCCCTAGTTTTATAACACCACGCAATTTATGTAATTTCAAGTTCAAGACTTATTACCAATATTTTGCAAGTTAGCACTTTTTCTGTTACTCACTGTCACATATAATTTTTTGCTGACGATACACTTTTCGATCGCTTATGTCCAATGAGAAGATGAATTGCACTAAAAAAAATGGAAAGAACTAAAACTTTAGCTAAGAAAAAAACTTAAAATTTAAAATTAAAAGAAATTAAAATAATTAAAAAGGTTTTGATGAATATAAACTTAGAATTCGTTTTTTGTGGCTTCCAGAAGCGCCAGAATGTTGAATTAAATTTTCCTGTGCGTTGCTGCTCAGCACTTTTTTTCGGTTGAATTTCTACTCTTTGCTGCCTTCAGCGAGTGATTAAATTTGTAAATTGTAAGTTGTAGCTGCCCTCAGCTCACAGTTTGGATTTTAGCTCCAGATACTTTTTTCTCCAAAAAGTCGTTATTGCTGCCCTCAGCAAGTGTTGAATTTTAGTTTCAAACACTTTGATGAAATTTTTTAATTTCTCAGGTTTATTTTTTCACTTTATTTCTGTGTTTGGAGTCCAAACTTTGTACTGTATTTCACTGATTTTATTTTTATCTACTTGTTCGAAGGACCAAAATGTTGAGGATGGGTTTCAACAGTAAAGCTTTGAGTACTGATGACTCAGAATAAATAAAATATACGAAGTACGTTTGGTAAGACTTCGGAGTGCACTGAAGCTTAATTACAAGTATCAGTGCTTTTATTCAAATATAATTGTTTATAAGAAATATACTTAACAATAAATATAGGAAGTTTATCTTAACAATAAGTGACAATTTTATGCTTAAAAATATAAATAATATTTTGTAAGTATTTTTTGCGAAACTAGAATGTTTGGACTTATTGCTTAACTTAAACAATCCCTAATAAGACATAGTGACAGCCACGATCCAAATGTACATCTACTTCCAGTTCAAATAAATTGTCTGCAAAAGAAAAAACTAAAACTTTTCAACAAGAATTTTTCAACATTTTTTTCCTCTTGAAATGTTGATTTATCAAATTAAATTTCATTTAAATATTTCGACTCCAAATGAATAAATTTCTATCTCCTATTAATGTCCATGATCTACAACTTATAGATCTAAAATATTTTGTTGATTTGAACATAAATTGAGCATCCATTAAACTATGCATTGAAATGCATATTTTTGATTAGAAAACTTTTACAATTTTCCATAAACATTTTTCATCTCTGCATGATGATATTTGTCTACCTACATCCTATTATACCTCATGTATGCATGAAAAGAATTTTCAATAAAAAAAGTTTTTTATTTCCAATATTGCATGGATATTAAATTGACTGTTGGTGTGTTGAGTGCATTTGAGTAGTTTTAGTTTTAGTTTGAATAGCTTGTAAACTATCTGTTATGAGGAATCGAGAGCTTAATTGATAATTATTAGCTTTTCAGCACTCAACACTTTTGGATCTCAAATTTCCCATGATTTTCATATAAATGGAATTAAATGAACAAGTTTTGAAAGGTAGGAAGGAATAGATTTCAACTTTTCCGCTCATGATATTAACCTACTTCTTCAAGCACAGATGAATGTGATATTCTATAATGACAAGGAAATGAAATTGAATAAAAATATAATAGAATAAATCCTTAAAACGGCACAGAAGCTTTCAAATGGTTTTAAGAAAGGAAGAAGAAGTAGGAAACGTAGTAAAATGAGGAAAACCAATTTTTGTTATATCAGAGGATAATTTTATCATGCTGAACAACTACTGACTATTAATTGAAGCTGTTCTGGAAATCGTTTATAAAATGTTCTCGGAAAATTGATAATTTGAATTTTCAGACATAATTCGCTTAAACCAAACTGTTCTTTTAGCTATCTAGTTCGACAGAGTTGTAAGGAATCAGCCTAGTTTGTTTATTGAGATTTACCCGATCGGCACACATTGAAATTCATTGAAATATTTGCAACCCGGCAGTCGGGTTGATAGTATAATTAGAACAAGGGTGTGGAACTGAAGAATAACATTTTGATCATTTTTTAATCATTATTGATTAATTTTGATCATTTTTGATCATTTTTGATCATTTTTGATCAGTTTTGATCATTTTTTGATCATTTTTTGATCATTTTTGATAATTTTTGATTATTTTTGATCAATTTTGATCATTTTCGATCATTTTTGATCATTTTTGATCAGTTTTGATCATTTTTTGATCATTTTTGATCATTTTTGATCATTTTTTGATCATTTTTGATAAATTTTGATCATTTTTTGATCACTTTTGATCATTTTTGATCATTTCTGATCATTTTTTGATCATTTTTGATTATTTTTGATCATTTTTGATCAATTTTGATCATTTTTGATCAATTTTGATAATTTTTGATCATTTTTGATCATTTTTGATCATTTTTGATCATTTTTGATCATTTTTGATCATTTTTGATCATTTTTGATCATTTTTGATCATTTTTGATCATTTTTGATCATTCTTGATCAGTTTTGATCATTTTTCATCATTTTTGATCATTTTTAATCATTTTTGATCAATTTTGATCATTTTTGATAATTTTTGATCATTTTTTAATCAATTTTGATCATTTTTGATAATTTTTGATCATTTTTGATCATTTTTTGATCATTTTTGATAAATTTTGATCATTTTTTGATCACTTTTGATCATTTTTGATCATTTCTGATCATTTTTTGATCATTTTTGATTATTTTTGATCATTTTTGATCAATTTTGATCATTTTTGATAAATTTTGATAATTTTTGATCATTTTTGATCATTTTTGATCATTTTTGATCATTTTTTGATCATTTTTGATCATTTTTGATCATTTTTGATCATTTTTGATCATTCTTGATCAGTTTTGATCATTTTTCATCATTTTTGATCATTTTTAATCATTTTTGATCAATTTTGATCATTTTTGATAATTTTTGATCATTTTTTAATCAATTTTGATCATTTTTGATAATTTTTGATCATTTTTGATCATTTCTGGTCATTTTTTGATCATTTTTGATCATTTTTGATCAATTTTGATCAATTTTGATCATTTTTGATAAATTTTGATCATTTTTTGATCATTTTTTGATCACTTTTGATCATTTTTGATCAGTTTTGATCACCTTTGATCATTTTTTGATCATTTTTGATCATTTTTGATCATTTTTGATCATTTTTGATCAATTTTGATCATTTTTGATAATTTTTGATCATTTTTTAATCAATTTTGATCATTTTTGATAAATTTTGATCATTTTTTGATCATTTTTTGATCACTTTTGATCATTTTTGATCATTTTTGATCATTTTTGATCATTTTTGATCAATTTTTGATCATTTTAGATCAATTTTGATCATTTTTGATAATTTTTGATCATTTTTTAATCAATTTTGATCATTTTTGATAAATTTTGATCATTTTTTGATCATTTTTTGATCACTTTTGATCATTTTTGATCATTTTTGATCATTTTTGATCATTTTTGATCAATTTTTGATCAATTTTTGATCATTTTAGATCAATTTTGATCATTTTTGATAATTTTTGATCATTTTTTAATCAATTTTGATCATTTTTGATAATTTTTGATCATTTTTGATCATTTCTGGTCATTTTTTGATCATTTTTGATCATTTTTGATCAATTTTGATCAATTTTGATCATTTTTGATAAATTTTGATCATTTTTTGATCATTTTTTGATCACTTTTGATCATTTTTGATCATTTTTGATCATTTTTGATCAATTTTTGATCATTTTAGATCAATTTTGATCATTTTTTGATCATTTTTGATCAAGTTTTCTTCTTTTCTTCAAAATCTCTTTCAACATTTGCAATCTCATTGGAAAATAATCTGGAACTCATCATCTTTACTAGATAAACTTTATTTCAAAACTAATGTGTTCTTTATAGTCTTATTTATGTCCTTAAAATTAGATTTATGGTAACCAAGTAATAATAATATACATTCACAGACTTTTATAACTCTATCAAAATTAATAATAAAATAAAGATCATAAGTTGGTTCTTAAACTTATTTATGAAAATTACCTTCCATGAAGTACACTCAAAGAAGAATTAAAAGTTTCAAACAGAACGAAAAAGTCATGTCTTGTAATTTCATTATGATAATAGTATTTTGTATGTTATGTGCTGTATATTCATCCAACAGTATCCATGGTAATATAATGAAGAGGTTTTACTGACTGAGTTTATCATGATTAAAGAGAACTGAGCCGTTTGAAAATGATAAGCCACATGAGAATAGAATTGTAGGATGTTTATAATGCTCAAAAATATGTACCAACATAGACATCCATGGCAAATGAATATTAAACACTCGAAAATTTCTCATGGGACTCGTCACATCATATCCATATAGACACAATTTTGAGGAATGAGGAAAGTTTTGCATATACATGTGCATAACAATAATTGACTTAAACCTTATATTCAACATATTTAATAATAAAAATTTGAGGCTTAATAGGGATGTATTTTCATGTTACACTTGTGCTACATGTTTGAGATTTTTTTTCGGACATAACAAACATTTTTGAGGGTTCTACCAACTGATGTTCATTAAATCCTCTTATGAATTTAGTAAAGCTTCTAATAAAAAATTTGCTTCATATGCGATTCATTCAGTCTTATGTAATGGAATCAAAACAGACTAGAAGACTA